CTGCTGAGTGAGAGAGAGGAGCATCCTAAGTAAGGAGTTTAATTAGTTCTTCTAGCCAAGATGGTAGGAAATCCTGTTCTTGGCAGAAATAATCAGGCGGGGGAAAGCTTTTCATTAGAATCGAAGAAGAAATAACTGTTCTTCCAGCGCTTTTCTAGAGAAATGACTATTTCATTTGTGCTGCTTGTTTTTCCTGTGTGGCTTATCACCAGCCTCTTACCTTACCACATCATAGGAAACGTGCCTAAAACTGCCCATCAGGCTAATAATCTCTTTTCATAAAGACCAAGGCTCAACCACACTGCTCTTTATAATGGATTGAAAACAGAGCCTAAAGTTGATTTTTAAAATATTTGTAAATGAATGTCTAAATGTATATCATTTCCCTATTAAATATTTTCACTAAAAATTTTTGGTTATCGGTATCACATCTCTTTATATCTATATTTGAAATCCCTGGTGTCACTGACGATTTAGGGACTTGTCATTTCCCATTCTCCTGAAGCATAAAGACTTCCTCTTGGCCCATGGCAAGGATGAAAGGAATAAGGAAATTTTTTTAAATCTTTCTCCCTTACCTCCTGAGAGAAGTATAATTTGAGTGTTTAATATTTAAGCACTCACCTGTGCATTCATGGCAAAAAGAGCAGCAGCCCACCTGGGGCGGTATCACTGCGGGGGAGGAGGGGGGCGTTGGGAGGGTCAGGGTCACTCGCAGGCAGAAAGCACAGACCTTGCTGGCTCCATCTGTGGTGAACAGTGTTTTCAATCCCAAACTATTTCCAATACATTTGTAAAACTCAATAAACATGAATATAAAAGCAAAGACATACCAAATACAAGTCCAAATTACATAATATAAACATAAATCACTGTCAAATTGCCATGAAACTTTCTGAGCACAGACTCTCGACTTCAGCACTTATAGCAAACCACTAACAAAGACCTCAAGTGCAAGGCCGCAGACCAGGAAATTCACGGGGAAATGGATTTGACCTCAGCGTTTTGAAACGCTTTATGAGGGGGTCGTCCTGCGGCTGTCTAACTATAGTTCATAAATTCACATGAAGGAAAACCTAGCTTTGAAAAATCAATGTTTCCAGATACCAGCTCAACTAAACAGAGCATAATTTGCAAGCCAAAAAAAAAAAATCAGGTTAAGTTTCTTACAGACCGCTTGACTTTGCTCTTGCCCTGTTGTCTAAATAGGACTTAACTATTCTGAAAAGCCCATTCTGCAGAGGGCAGATGAAGAACGAAATAAATAGCTGTGTTGTAACTGGCACCCACAGCGCTGAGGGCGGTTGACTGCGGGGCACTGTAGTTTGCATGTGTCCCTAACATTCTATTGGGCTTCACTTCACAGGTATCATCCCTTGGAATGCTTTCCCAGGAAAAATATGTGGTTCTGCCCTGGAGAACATCTGCAACACAAATGAGGTAAAGCCCTCTCCTGCCAGAGATTTGCGGATTCTTCTCTTTCCCCTTCAAATGGTTTCTCAAAGTAGAACATCTGTCCCAGAATAAATGTAATCTTCATAGGTCTCCCTGAATTTATATATAAAGCAAATTTTTATAAATCAAGTCACAGATAAATCATTTATATTTCCAGAGTGATTTGCTGTTATTCCTCATTCGCCCTTAGTTGGCACTAAATCCTAACACGCTCCAGTGTAAAATCTCTTGGCCCCAGAATATTTTTCAGGCATTGGTTTAAAACTGTTTATAAAATTCTTAAATGCACTAGTGGGAGCCAGATATTTAAGAGAATCCTAATACGTGTTTGGAAAGCAATCGGTGACTGAAATAATCAGCCCCTACCAACCTGGCTGGTCAGTTTGGATACCCCCAGTGTGGACTGGCTCAGAGCAGGGGCTCCCAGCCTCGGCTGCAGCTTGCAACCATCAAGGAGCATTATGATATAGTCATGGTAAAGGCTCAGCCTCCAGATGCTCAGATTTAATTGCTCTAGGGGGCAGCCTGGGCATCTGAGAGTTTTCGAAGCTCCCCAGGTGATTCCAACGTGAGGCCAGCGTTGCCAGCTGGGCTTGCAGAAAATAGCTATAGAGGAAGATGACTCTGCCCACTGGAACGGGTGTAGGCCATTTCATTACACACGAAATGCTTACGTCGGTGCCCTCTTCTTTCCTAGTTCTACATGTCCTATCACCTGTTCATTGTGGCCTGTGCAGGAGCTGGTGCCACCGTCATTGCCCTGGTGAGTAATGGCCCGAGGACTGGCCTGGTCTAGCTCCCCGCTCCCAGCAGTCTCTATAATGACAGATTTCCCTTCCAGCAAACAGCCCTGGGACTCAAGGTTGATTAAATTTCACCTGTGTACACTTACCACATATCTAGATTGCAGGAAGTACTAGTTGGCTGTCTTGGCACTGGCTGCAGGTAATGTAAATCGGATTCTGGGGGAAGAAGAGAGGGTGCTAGTATCTTGAACACCTATTAACTAGGACTCGAAGATCGTGTTATTGCATATTTAGCCCTTACTGTTATGAATTCAGTCATGGACCCATGGTCACGTGAGGCATTGCCCATTTCTTTGTCAAGAAATCTCCATTTTTTTCAAAAATGGAAATATGCATATATACATCCATACGTGTACAGTTGATCTTGTTCTGTGCAGTAGTTATGCTCTGTAAAGCCTCCAATGACGAATTAACGAATACCAAGCCATTGTTCCTTGGGGAAACAGCGAGGTTTCTGCGAGCCTCTGGTCACAACATTTTTTGTCAAACCAATCAATACATAACCTCGTTTTGTGTGTTTCTGTTCAAAGACACCAGATATAGTGTATCCTGCCGATTCACTAACACGAACTCGTGGGCAACAGCACTCAGACTCGCAGTGAATGAAGCTCATTTAGCACACACATTTTCTAAGGTACCTCAGTCTTCCTGCGCTTAAAAACACCAGAGAGCACTTCAATTAGCGAACATTTAAGGAGTAAAATCACAAAAATGCAAAAAACATGGCACTAAACAGGCTGCGTAAAGGACACTTGCTTACAGACTAAGAGCTGAAACAAGAAGGCAGTGTCATCTTGGTTGACTTCAGCTGGGAGACTTAGCTTTTTCACAAATGACCGTGAAGTTGCTGAGTATTGATTTGGGGGGTCACAAAGAAATTCTGGCACGTAGGCAAATTCACAAATATGGAATCTGTGAATGAGCATCAACTGTATACATGCACACGAGTATATGTATGTATGTATGCATGTATGTATATATGTATGCATGTATGTACTTGCATATAGATATGCAATCTGGGAGGGCTTGGTTTGTGATTTCAAGAAATCTAAGACTGGTAGAACGAGGGGGTACATCTGTCTCATCTGCTCTGAAAGAAGTCATTCGCAGGTTTTCCAGCCACTGACTTATTCCCTCCCATTACAGCCCACGAAAAGAAAGCTCCTGTTACATCGCGGTGGTGGCCCACTCTCCAGGCTGCTGCCTGTTCTCTTGGCCACATAATAGGCAGGAGGAGGACAATTGCTGGGAAAGATGACGGGAAATATAGGGCATTTAGCTTCATCTCTCCATTGCTGCTGACCCCAGCGCTCTATTCTGTCATTCTTTAAACATATCCAAGTCTTTTTAATAAACGTATTGAGGGCAGAGCCAAGGACTGATATTGTATATGTTAAATGAGAAAAAGTTTGTATGTGCTAGACTTGAAAATCTTCCACTGTGATTATAAATGGGGTAAAAAGGAACACCTTAGGCCGAGTTGGCACCCTGCCCCCCCCACCCCAAGTTTAGAAGTGTCATGGCACCGGCCCTCACTGCCTGTATCTTACTGTCCTGTTTTGTTCTCTTCCACCAGCTGATCTACATGATGGCTACTACATATAACTATGCGGTTTTGAAGTTTAAGAGTCGGGAAGATTGCTGCACTAAATTCTAAGTTGCATAAGGCCACTAAGGAGCTTTAGAGAGCTATACGATGTAGCATGAATATCACTGACACCCCAGACTAAAGCAGAGTCTAGGTTTCCGCAGTTTTGTACCAGTAATTTGTAAATAGCTTTAGTCGACTCATTTCGCATGGTAGATTAATAAGATGACTTACCGTACATGAATTACAAAATTATGAGATCTGGCTATTTCCACATATTGAAAAGGATTCAGTTATTTACTGACATTGGTGAGCACCCATTAAAAAATAATTTTCTTAAACTTTGAGCAGTATCTCTGAATGAAGTATTAAAACTTTGAAATACCTGCGTTTTCCGTTATTTTTGCTGGCTTGATAACCAAGTTGAAATGATGAAAATGAAAACAAGTGAAGATGAAATGGAAGAGAACCAGCTTAATCTGGATTTTTGTCAGACTCCTGGAAAATATTTTAAAAATAGATTTTAAATTTGATTAATTTTTTTTTATGATTACATGGTTCACCTCCAAATAAATGCCCCTCAAATAAGCCAGATGAAAATGTGAAGAAAAATAAAAGCCACCCATTAACACAGTCCTTCCTTTCAGAGCCCACAAAATTGATAACCTTCAATTGTTGTTTTGGTGAGTGGTAACTGATTCCTCAAAGCCAGTTCTCAAACTGCACGTAAGATTTTAATGGAAAGAGAAATTGTTCCTGGATCTGAAAGTCTCAAATATGTTGAGAAGGAAATATAAAATCTAAGGAAGTTGAGATGTAGATTTTGCAGGAAAGATGAGGAAAATAAACGGGAAAGGAGTGTTTACCACATCGACTGTAAAGAATAAGGAGTTTTATGTTTTGTGAAATGAAATAATGGCAGTTATAAAGTGGAAAATGTAGTTTCATTACTAAAAGTTTGTTAACACAGAGACTGCATGCTTTGCTTACAGTTCTTAAGTTTGGTTTTGACATTCACTTAATTTTACATGTTAAATATGTAGTTTTTTATTATTTACTCAAAATAAACATTGTTCACACTCTTAGGCCTTCAGGGGAATTAATTTTTTCCTCAGATAGGAAAGACCTTTGCACCACATTTATTTTGAAATAACCACACAACGTGTTTCTGAACTTCTGCATTAGTTTTAAAAATTACTCTCAAAATGGTAAAAAACACCCTCTTGTATTTTTTGCTTTTTCTTAACAATAACTTCGGCCATTTTTTCAAGTTCACTATGTTTGTATACTAACTTTTCTTCAGCCTTTTAATATTAAGCCTACCAGTAGAGCATGCTTTCAGTATCTGATGCCTCTGATCGCAGAATGAGTATTAATACAGAATAACCCTCTCCCCATTTACAGTAAAGATTGTCTAATCTGCCTAGCAGCTTGCTTTGCCTTCTGACATGCTCACTAGCCATCATGCTCACCCTTCTTTTCCAGATCCACTTCCTCATGATACTGTCTTCTAACTGGGCTTACTTAAAGGATGCAAGCAAAATGCAGGCTTACCAAGATATCAAAGCAAAGGAAGAACAGGAACTGCAAGATATCCAGTCTCGGTCAAAAGAACAACTCAATTCTTACACATAAATGTTTGCCAGAGTGCTTCAGCCGACGAATTTACAGCTCTGACAAATCATCAGAGAGCTGCCCTGCAGTGCAGATGTGTATCCCACCAAACAAACTAGTGTACAAGTACAAACACTTCACTGTCTGTCTCGAGCTGCCGGGATATATTTCTAGGAAAACCTTCCAGTAGGTAAATCTTTTGCTTTAGAACAGATATTGGAGGTTTTATGCTAGCCATTTTAAAAGGCAACACTTTGACAAAACGATTGTTCATCCTTTTGAAATTTGTGGCATGTTCATATTTATTGCTAGAGCAAGCCTACCAAGACAGGCAATGAGAATATGGCATACTCCTTGATAGGGACCTGTGATGTGCCGGCATCAAGGGATGTGACCATAAATTCATGTATGCCATCTGTCCTCAAATAAATGTATCTAAATAGGGAATGGAATTGGTGTGAATTTCCATTTCTGACAGCAGACATTTATTCAGCTGTGGCTCATCAAAGATAATATGATTCTCACAATTGACCAGGGCACATTAATTTCATAATCCAATCAGAAATCTATTTTTCGATAATGCTAAAATGAGCTACTATACTGCTGCTACACCTGCCATTGAAGAAGCTGGATTCTGGTTCATTGACAGGCTTCCAGAATCAATTTTATAAAAGATCTCATTTTAATAAAATGACCCACTTGTCATCATTCTTCTTGGGAAATAAATGTCAGCTCTGCCTTAATGAGTATTTGCTTTAAATTTCTAAGAACTTATATTACAACGGGAGACCCAAAATCCTTCATAGAATTTTGTTCCACAAATGCTTTTCTTAATTAAGAAGTGTTACCTTATTAAAATGACCACCATTCTAAACCATTTTTATGTGGTCTGAAAAGCGAGTTTACAGTTTCATACCAACTATCTAAAACCTAGTTACAAATAGGCCACAGACCTCCTACTTTTATAGACTTGAATACTTAAGTAATTTAAATTAGGGTTGGTATTTATTTCACTTTTTCTTATCTAAATCTTAGTTTCCTGGAATAATAAAGTTCGATGTTCAGAAAAAAAAAAAAACCAACAAAAAAAAAACCTGCTTGCGTTAAAGCCATTTTCAAAAGAAACTTGCCTTCTAAATCAGTGTGTTCCAGAACATTAAGTGACTATAGATATTGGGTATTAGTGATGGTAATCTTTGTGTTGTTCTTTATGAAATGATACATAGAACTGTTGGGTGCATCAGTGCTTTTTAAAAGGGGCTGCGTAATATAGGGTTAACTATGTATATTCATGTTAAGAATTAACTTGTGGTTTGGCTGTTTCCTGGATTTTAAAACATACATGTGCAGAAATGTATTAAAGTGAAAGGAAGCATACCTTTGTCAAGACGCTATTAAAATTAAACATCAAGTATAATATTTCATCTGGATTCTTTTTGTTGCTGTTGTTAATGCCTAAAAATGCCCATTTGGATCTTGATTGTTTTCTTTTTCATTGGGAGAAGCTCTCTTCTGCGTAGAACAGTTGTTCCAGAATAGCTTGGTGATTTGTTCTCCTGTTGCATGACAGACTTACATATTTTTTTCCAGCAGTGGAGGTGCTGTTAGAGTCCAGTGTTCTAGAAGAAGCAGTGTCTAAAGCCTAATTTTCCTTTTCTAATTCTGGTAGCTATTACCAAGAATTTTTGAAAGTTTTGTTTAAGTAGTCTAATATTTTTTATGTAAAGAGCATTAAATTTTGCTATGTATAAATTTTTGTAACCTAACAGTGAATCAATATTTTCTATCAGTGCCAAGGGCTTCCTGTAGTTCTATTCAAGTGTTACAATAAATATTTGTAGATAATAGTCAATACTTGTGTATGCTTATTTTAAAGATCTATTGAGGTGGAAATAGTTGTGGATGTACTAAGAGAAATTAAATAAAATTATAGCTTCATTCACTTGCCTTTTTACCATACATAAATACTATCTTTCTCTGTCCTCAGTATTGGTGTCATTTTTAAATAGTATGCATAATCAAGATTTCACATTCATATGGAAATAAAGTTTCTTTTAAGCGAGAGCGATTTGAGAAAATAGCATCACCCACTGGGCTATATTTTATATAAAGTGCCACTAACACCTTATAGGTCTCTGTGAAAAGTATAGAATTTTGCTGACCAACTTCAATGAATGAAAGCACTAGTCCTATGGGATTAACACAACTTAAGTTTGGGGGGAAAAAAAGAAAAAGAAAAAAAAGAAAAACGTTTGGGAAAGTATAAATAATGAGGAACCTTCATAAGGGTCCGTGTGCCATTGGCTATTTAACAAACCCGAGGTATAAAAGTCTACTGAAAGAAGCTTTATTCGGGAATATTTTTTTAAAAAGATCTAGATCTAATAGTTATTTTTTAAAGCAGTGGAGCTAAACTTGTTACTTGGGATTTCATTTTATAATCTGTTTAAACTACTTTGTTAGCATGATTATACATTTGGATTTTTTCCAGCTGACCTTTTTAATAAGGACCAGATGTTGTCACTATGGACACAATGGCATTTCTAAATGAGGTGCTGCCTGCGGATCATCACCCTTCATACATGTCCAGCAGGAGAACAACTGAGGAGCCCAATTAGAATGCTATTTGTCACACTACTTGACACCTGTTTGTGTAGCACTTGGCAATTATTTTTTAAGTTACATGAATCACCTGATTAAACTATGTGTAAATCATGCCTAGATAAGATCACATGCAATCTCCTAAATATCAACAGTAATCCTGCCACAAATGTAAAAATCTTTTAGAGGGTAGAGCAGAGATTGTTCCATTTCTCTAGTTATACCTTGTGAAACTTAACTTTCTTAAGAGATAAAGAAAGTCATAATTTTAGGGGAAGAATTTCACAATAAAAATTTTGAAACAATCCTTTTAGGGCTTTTTAATGTTATGACAGCCATAATATTATGAAATTTAAAAGAGGCAATCTACTTTATCGGTATCCTTCCTAAGTCATGGCATCGTTCCCTAGCTAGTGCAAGGCTAATTTGTTCTCAAATGTTTATGAAAAATTATAGATTTTACTTAAGGCCAAATTTTTCAAAATGAATATTAGGATGAATAAAACTACAGAAAGTTTTGAGGAAACAAAAATAGAAATGGAGGTAAGTCAGGTTTGGCAAAGAACATTCTTTTTCTAAACTGCCCCCCAAGCTTCCTCACTGTTTTGCTATTTAAACGTTATTTTACCCACCTTGGGAAGACGTTTGCTCGGGGGTGGGGGGTTGGGGGGGTCTAGTAGAGGCAGAAGCAGAAGAGGCTGCAAGGGAGGGTCTTGATCTCGCAATCTGTATTCATAGGCATTCTAGATGATGTGCCATCTGAAATGCTACAGAAGAAATGACTTATTTTTCTTTAAATGGACTCTGCCCTGGAGTATTAAGAATATTTAGAATTTAAGTTGACGGGGGGTGGGGTCGGGTGGGGGAAGCTATAATCCCAAGCCAAGCTAGAAAACAAAGTATACAATGAGTTATTTAAACAAGGGCTTTGAAAATACAGGGTGAGGAAAACCCGAGTAATATTAGAAAGTATTAAGAAGTTATTTGAGGGTTCTGGTCCAAGATGGTGACATAGGAGGCCCCTGAACTGAACTCTCCTCTCCCAGACACACTGAATGTACCACTACACATGGGACAATTTTTCCTGAAAGAAATCCAAAAACTAGTTGAGCTACTTCTTAGGTATGCAGTGAACAAGAAAATACATCAAAACAGGTAAGACAGGCTGAGACATGCTCTTACCATAAACTCCATTCCCACACGCCACCATACAAGGAGGGGCCTCCCAACACCACCGTTCTCCCCAAAGAGCACAGGGTTTGGAACCCATGTCTAGTGCTCCAGCTTCTAAGACTCTGACCTGAAGGATGGGTACCCAAACACCTAGCTCTTAAGACCAGCAGGGCTAGTGTCTACCAGACCCACAAGACTAAAACAAACAGTTCTGAACCAGTTCCAGAGGACTCACCAATTCCTGCTC